AAAAAAAAAAACATTCAAAGGCCAGAATGTGTGACAGTAAACCATTTTTCTCTTAGACAGGCTTATATTTCTAAGTGACCCATTCAGCCAAGATCTCTCTGTTCAAGAGACTACTGGTAAGATCAAGGCATCAGGGCCCGTGTCTCAAAGTGCCAGTAACAGATACAAAACACATAGATAAGAGAGGACCACCAAAACCAGGGCTAGCAGATGGGAACCTTTAAAGCAGATAGCCCTACATGTACAAACTTATTCTACTTACTTTACTTTTGGCAGACCAACTCCAACTGCAAGATTGTATAATAGTCCAGAAAGTTATTCAAAAGGCAGATTGTTACAGTAAAACATTATCTTCGACAGGCTTATGTCTCTAGGTGGCCCTTTCTTCAACTTACTTTACCAAGATTGTACAAAAAAGAAACAGAGAGAGACAACAAGAGAGGGGCTCTAAAACCATGGCTGAGAGACACAAAGTTTTATATTAACCAGCCACAATCTTTCCCAAGAGACTTCCTCTAGGCTCAATGCCATGTTTTAAAAGTGGAAGTAACAGATACAAACAAAACAAAACAAAACAAAACAAAAAGCACACACAAACAACCAGAGGAAATTCCCAAACCCAAGGTCAACAAACAGATGAGAACCTAGAACAGATCAGAATGGAGCAAATATCCCTAGGTTCTTTGGTCTCATTTAACCATGAGTCCTACACCAGTGGCACCAGAGATGTCCCCCACAAAGAAGGACCAGATATTCCCAAGAAGAACCAGGTGTGTGGAATCAAGGGTCTCAGTGTGCACTCCGGGAAACTTACCAGATGGCTGAAGTTGTCACAACTTTCCTGAGTTGAGTTTCCTTTTTGTTAAAGTGGCCCACAATGGAGCAAGCTGGACCATCCAGGGGGAGAAGGCAGGAACTCCCGGAAGCAAAAGGAGCTTGGGCAGCTGTTGGGATGGTCACAGGCATGGCTCCTCTGGTATGACCTGAGCCAAACTCACCTGTCTCCTCCCTCTCCTAAAGGTGGCTCTTAACAAGTTTGCCAGCCACCTTGCACCCTCAGTATGGAAGTAGGGTTCTTTGGGGAGCAAGGCCTGCCCAAGAAAGCTGATGGCAGTGGCTGCTCTCGGGTCCCATCTGGGATACGAAATTTGCAACCAAAAGCTTGCTCCTTGTCTTTGATGCCAATTCAATAACAAGGACAAGGACACGGTTTTGAGAAAAGGAAAAAAGAAGTTTTACTGCTTTACTAACAAAGGAGAAACACAGGGGACTCCTGTCCCAGAGGCTGTGATTCTCTCCGCTCCATTGTTTCAAGCAGTTGAGAGGAATCATCGAAATCTGGCTCAGTCTTTCAAAGTGATCCCCCTGACTGCTTGCATCAGAATCTCGTGACTGACTGGTGAAATGCACATTTCTGGATCATTCCAGAAACTTTTAGATTATTTAGACATGGGGCCTCAGTATCTCTCTTCTTTTATATAATAAAATCTTAGTGCAACTGCTTTACATTAAGTAATTAAATCCCCATAATAAAAAAAGTCAACTATGAGGCAAATCATGAAAATGATAACATTTGAACAACAGAAAGGAGAGTTCTAATTTCTTTTTTAAAAAACAGAAAATAATGATGAAAGCATAGAAATTGGTATTTTCAAAATACAGTGTCCTGATCTAGAAAAGAAACCTTGAATCACTTGATTTCTCTTCCTACCTGTGTTTGGATTAAAGACATCATCAATTGAGAATATTGTGTCCTCTTAACATTTTCTACTGAAGAAAATTCCAGAAATTTTCTCATGTATTTATCAGAATGTGCCATGATTGGAAATGCTTCTTTATAAATCATTTAGAAGTTCTTAGTATGACTAAAATTTTATTTCTTCTTGTTCTAGCTATGGGAAAACTGGTGGTAGTTATAGGAAGAAAAGAAAGAAAAGAAATTCTTTTACATTTTCAAGTGAAAATTGTACAGTTAAACATACACACACACACACACACACACACACTTAAAAAAAAATCTGTGAATTGTGGAAGAAGGAAAAAGGTGTCCTAAATCAGTTCTTGAAAAATCGCCAGCATCCACTTGTCCACTTATCCTCGGGACGGTGACTTAGTTTATTTTTGGAGAACTCTCTCTCTGGGAAATGTATTATTTTCTTGATCCTCTTATCTTCATTATTAATAACTTCCATTCTCTTTAAAATTTATCCTGAAGGAAGACCCTGTCAGCAACCACTTAGAGTGCATGAATTTATTATATTGCTTTGTTTCTGTCACAGATTTTCACTTCAGGAAAATTTCCACTGGAGGAGAAGAGTTTCTACCACCACACAAAGAGGAGCACGCCATTCTGTAGCAGGAAGGTGTTTCTGGTGCTCTAAGTATTTTGTTTTTCATCCTACCATGCTGCCTTCTCTGACACAAACCTTTCCCAGAGAAAAGCCTCCCATGTCCTTCTCCATGGAGCAAAGCAAGGGGTCTCCTCTTAAAAACCAGCGTGGAGAACCACAAAGGAAACAAGGCAGAGGCCAAGCGAGGTAAAAGTAAACAAACAGCCTTCCAGCTGGACACACATTGCCACCTGTCCTTCCCTTGTCTTTTGTTCTTTCTCTATCCATTCTCACAGCTGGAAGACTGTATTAGATTTGAATGTGGTTTGTCCCTGCCACAGCTTCCTGTCTGCGTGGGCAAGAGAAACCTGGCATGGAGCGTCCTGCAAGCCTTGGATTGTTTTCTACCTGAATGTGTGCCACATCTGAAATGCCACACCATGCTTGGCATCAGAACGGGAACCAAAATAGAGCCAGGCTGCTAGAGATGGCTACTCTACACACACAAATCTTCTGATAATTAGCAGTGACTGGGGGTAGGGGGAGGGTGGGATGCAGAGCATTATAAGCAGGTTAAATGACTTTTTTGTTTTAATGGTCTTCCTTTCCTGATGTTGTAAGCACCCCCTCTGTATGTGAAGCTCTAGTGCAGCTGTCAGTGCAGGAGAAAAGCTTAAGAAACTCAAACAGAATTTTTACAACTAGGGGTGGATGACAGGGGCTCAGAAACACCTGGATTGGAAGGAACACAGTGCCTAAAGACACTTGAATAGCAGGTGGGGCTTATAGCACCCAGGAAAATATTTTGTACATGCTCAGAGAAATGAACTCTGGAAGTTTTCTCCATTTTGCTTACAAATTGCTTATGTAACTACTATTTCTTCTTCTTTCTCCAACCCTCCTTCTATATCTCCTCTTCTTTCTTCTTGAAAGCTAAAGGAGTTTCGCTGCATTCACACACAAAAAGTGAAATATATTTAGGGAGGCACGATGGAACTTGAAGTGGCAATGGGATAGAGGAATAAGGTGAGAGATAAGTAGAGACCAGGGACTGTAAAGAGAGATCAGAGTGGAAGAGGAGACATGGGTCTTGCAGCCATAGGGAACAAAGGCAGAAATAAGCATTCTGTCTCAGGGAAGGATGTGGGATGTGCAGATAGAAAGTGAGGATCCTCTCACCTGGAAAAGTCACCATTTTTCCTTAACAGTTATTGAACAAGTACTGTGTGTCAAGTGTTGTGCTATATCCAGAGGTTGCTGAAAGGAAAAAGGTATAGGCCCTATCTACAGGTATGTAGAGATATAAATTTAGACATGGTGTTCAAATAAGATTCAAAACAATGAAGAATATATACTATGGAGTTTAGCAGAAAATGGGAGAAATTGCCAAGAAGGGTCAAAAGTGCTTCATGGAAATGAGAAAATTTCAGCTAGAGCTTTAGGAGGAGATGGGAATTGTCCAGGCAGAAAAATGAAAAATGGTAGAATAGACTGGGCAGCTTACCCGAAGCCATGTCAGGGAAGAGAATGTTTTCCGTAAACAATATTAAAACCTCCATTTATGGGGAGTATAGGTAGAGATGGGATCAGGGATAAAGAAAATTGCCGCAGTCTGGCTGAGCACAAATCACGAGCCACTGAAGCAGGAACAAACTTTATTTTTGAACTGCAAGAAAACACTTCACCCACGCTCCCAGGGAATTCTCCCAAACACCACAAGGCTTGTCCAGGAACCCCCAGCCAGAAAATTATCTCCCGGAAATCCCTCCTCCTCCACTTCTCCAACCAATGGGAACTCGGGAATCCCCACGAGAACTCCAAAGTAGCGGCCAAGGCGGATAGTAATGGCAAAATGCCAGGGGCCATACAGACTTGGCCATGGCTCTCAGCAGAAAATGATGAGGCAGATATCCTCATCATCTACTAGATGTACAGATGACAAGATAGGTCTATTGTGCAGACACAGAAGTGGCAGGTCAAGGGCCTGGGAATGTATAATAGCAGGTCAGGAATTAGCACCAGCCACATGGATCTGTGAGATCAACTTAATTCTGAAACAGCTCTGGATGATCAGATGCTTTAAAGTTTTTAAGTATGAAAATTCACCCAAATCACCAAGATTTACCGAGTTTTTATTACATTCAAAGTATGACACCATGTGAAATTAATATGATAAAATTTTTGCATATGAGAGGCTTATAATTTAGCAAGGAAGAAAGTCATGCACTTCCATTACTGGAAGAGACTAGCATGTTTGTGCCTCAGCATTGAAAGGAGTGAACCAAATGAGACTGTTACATACAATGCAAGGTGCTAAATATTTTCCTGGAATGCTCACACCAAGTTAAGTAGAATTATTTTGCCCAATTTAGAAATAAAATATGTGTTCAAAAAGGCTATGAAACTTCCCCAAGGATGCCCAATTAGCAGGTATCAGAGCCAAATGAGCTCATCTATCTGACACTGAAACCCACCTCTGTAACCTAATGTGGGCTGCTTTAGGGAAAGCATAACATTAATATGTGGGTTCCATAAATTCACAGAAAGTTCTCAGGTGATGTTAATCCTCAGTGTTTATGATCTGCCCTTCACCATCTTTCCATCCTTCAGTATTCCTTACCATTCCCTTCTCCTCCCTTAAAATCTTTCCTGCCCTGCTGAAAGAAGTGGTTTCTTCCCCCTGATATTTCCTGTTGCCTGTATTCTGGATTTCTAAAATGACCCGAGATCCCTCACAAGCTCTTTATTCAGAAGAGTACCTCTTCCAAGGGAAGTAATAGCTCAAGGTTTTATTTCAATGACATTCAACAAGCAAACAGTAATCATAAATGAAAATTATACCCATCAATATACCATTGTATAAAGATATTCACACAGTATGCTGAGAGTCACACCTGGAGAGGCATGAGTTGATTGATGGCCAACTCAGTAAAGTTTAGCTCCAAAAGTGCTCATTTCCTGATAAAGCATAAGAATTATATAGATTGTTGATATGCATATCTGACCCCAGGTAAAGTGAGTGGGATTTTCCTGAATTAATTCAAATTTAGTTTCCTTTGCTTAGACCAGTTGGAAGGGAAGTTCAAAAAATAGAAATTATTAGGTATGAAATAATAAAGTAGTTATTTCTTGCATGCCTGACTTCTTAAATTGAAAGTGGTACTCTTTATGTAGACCTATTTTCTGTCTTTCCATCTAGACTTCTAAGTCTTTTAGGGCAGGGATTATGTCTTCTATTCTCTATGCCACTGAGTTTCTAATGAAGTGCATTAGTCACAGCAGTGCAGAGTGGGCATTCCGTGTGATGTGTGTGAATGTTTTTTTTTTTTTTTTTTAAAGGAATGCTTGTTTCAGCTCATGGAAAATGGACAAAGGATATCAGTTGTCACCATGCTTGAGCAGTTGTTTGCAAGAACAGTGGAAACATGTCCACAAAATATTAAGAGTTTCCTCTTCAATTTTAAAGATGTAGTGGAACATAACGTCCCATACTGCTAAAACTTGGGAGGCAGGGGTAGCTCTAATTCTCTTGCCATTTTTATGTAGTTAAGGGTGATTTCTGCTTACGCAGTTGCCTCAAGGCTAAGTGTTTGAAAATACATGGCATGGCACTTGGAACCAAGGAGTGTCCTGGGAACGAGTTATCATTGGAGAAGCAATCAGAGTGGTGCTGAAGAAAGTCCAAAGACTCTTTTTCTGGATAGGTTAGAGATTTCACTCAAGCCTCCATGACAATTGGAGGCATGGCAATTTGCTGTGGTTGAGTAATATTCTCTCAGTCAAGAGAGCGTCAAGTGTGATGCCACAACCTAAAATAGGCTTGTAACCTTATGAAACTAAAATATGAAGAAAAAAATAACATTTCTTATGTTTCTTTTTGTTTAGTTTGAACAATGCTGTGAAGACTTTTCTGGAAGGAAGGAGAAACCAGGTGCAGAGATTTATGTAAAGAACCATTATCTGGCTAGCTTCCCAAATTCTTAACAGATGACTGATCTTGGTCAGTTTACTGTGCTCTACTATAGGTCTGGCTCTTAGAAACAGAATCAAAAAAATGGATTCACTCTTACTATTTGATAAAATGCCAAATTTAAAGTTTCCAATGATACCATTAGATAGACAAGATATTTACTTCTGATGGTAACGTAGTATTTCCTCATCAAAAATTTGCAGGGAAATCAAACAGAAAGTTACTTGTTAATAATTGATATTTTGGAGGAACTAAATGACTAATATTTTAATAATTTCAGTATAAAAGAGCTTAACAATATCAATATAAAAGAGCAATCTTTCATTAAACAATTATTGAGCACTTTGATATGAGCCACCACATTTTAAACACTCGACTAGGACTTGATCGACAGCATAGTAAGAAGGCCAAAGTCACTGTATCAGAAGCTCTCAATCAGCTTGGCTTGAACTTGTAGCTAAGACAAGGAGCACTATCATGAATCTAATCAGTGCTTTCAGAGAGGCATGGAGTTGTTCAATTATGGATACACCTGGAGAAACTTTCCACGAGATGGCTACCAGGTGGGGGAAATTGCAGAGGACGCTTGAAGTAGGTAGCAGTTGAATTGCATTATGACTGATGAACAGAAGACCCTGAAGGAGGAAGGAGAAGAAGAGGAGAAGACAGTTTCAGAATAACAACAGCTCAAAGTCCAGGAGCCAAGGGTACCTTGGGATTTGCAGCTTGTAAGTAGTTCAACTTGACCAATTGATTAGACCAGTTGGTCTAAGTCCAGTTCTGGGCACAAAGAGATGAGGCTGGGAAGGATCACAAAGAACAGAGAGCACTATCTCCAAATTATAGGTTATTTATGGAAGGAAGGTAGAATCAAGTAGAACCAGAAGGAATATTATATATGTTTTATACACATATAAAATACATATATATAATCTCTGTTCTCTTGGTCATACTGTTACATACATTTTTAACATCACTCATTCAAATTTTCTTCTTTTCAAAATTAATGTTGTTTTGTCTTGCAATGTTTCCATTTTAACAAAATTTAATAATAGCCTTTGTATTCACTGAAGTCACGTAACTTTTTTCAATATAATTTTTTATATTTGTGCTTTTAAAAATATGTTTCTTAATCTTGCCAGACAGTTGTCAATTTTATTTGTCTTTGTTTTTGGTGATCCTCTGTATTGTAGTTTTTTCTACTTTGTTAACTTATGCTTTTTAGTCTCTCATTCTATAAGGAAATATTAGCCTTAAAAAAAAAATCCTTTCATTTG